AATATTCACCTCAATCCAGCTGGCTAATAATGACTGGACGCCATAGGGGAGGGTCCTCCCAAGACAAAAAAAAAAAAGAAAACCCCTAAAAGACAAGTCAGGTTGATTTTTAGTAGAGTTTGGTTTCCGGAAACCTTGGCACCTTTTTTTATATTTTGTATTAAATTTGTTTTTCTTTTATGTTCCATCAATGTAGCTGATCCTGTATTTTAACAATCTAAAATTCTTTTGTTAATTTAGACTAGTCATTTCGATTTAGTGGTGATATAAAGAATAATGTTTGGTTAATTTTCTCAGTACAGCAAAAAATGAAAGCCTAAGTCTTGGTTATGCAGGCCCAGAAGTAGGGAGGGGTTAGTTTATACTCCAGCTCATTTTTAGAATGCTTTACACTCCTAACATGGGGTAGAATAGTGTACGAAAGCCTCATGCCAATCACTCAAGTAGCAATGTGTATGCGTAATCTATTTCTGTTCCCTTTATCATTTTTGCAAAGTTGCAAAAATTGTACTGGAAACTCCAGACATCCTGCTTTTGTCATGCACATTTAAGGTTTCACAACCGTGGAAATCTTAAAAAACACCACAAAGAGAGGCTTAAAACTCCTCAGATAATCTGTTCTCCTGCCTCTGTTTTTAAGGAGTGTGTCTGCTTTTCTACTCCAGGTAGGAAGGAAGCATCACGGACATTTTGGCATCAACTGAGTGTTTTGCTCCTGCAAAAGATCCTTCCTCCTAGCAGATCCCATCTCATGGTCTCAGTCATGCCAGCTGTTACAAAATGTGCCCGAGACAATTCTTTGGATAATAGTGATAGTCCAGCAAAGCACTGCCCTCCCAGGAAAACAAAGAATTTCGGTCCTCCAGAGACATGCGGTGACCGGTAGGCTCACGGAGGCACGCAGCAGCAGAGTGGGTGGCCAGTTTCTCGTGCGCTGAAACGTTCACTCCCTCCTTGGCTAACCACATCTCCCTGTCACTTCTTTTCCTCCGTAGGACTGTGTGTTCACCTCAGAGGAAGGCAGTTTCTACAGCTGTGTCCGTCTCTGCGAGGGAGATACGTGAAACGTACTTTCCTGACGCCTCACTCTGCTGTGCAGTCTCGAAATCGGAGTGTTAGTGCATGCTTTTCCCCAGGCCATACATCTGGAGAAGAAATGAAGAATAAATAATGTTATGGCAGAAATGGAAAACAAAACATGAATGCCAGAAAACTGAGTGGAAGAAAATATCTTCTGAGATGTAACCTTTGTCAACAGGTCCTTCTAGTTTGGTGACTTTAGAGCACCCAGGCCGAACGATGACTTTGGGAAGCTGGCATGGAAGGCAAGAGCCAACACCTTGACTTACCCTCGCTGGGGTGCCAAACTTGAGCACAAGTGCTTGCCTCTTTCGGATGAGAGTGCAATTTGCCAGCCTTAAGATGCAAGTCCGCCTTCTCCTTTGCTTTCAGCACGTTCCGGTAGGAAACAGAAACTAAAGTGTGGTCACAAATCTGCTGCTGACCACAGCTGCTCAAACGAAAGGACAGCCTCGAAGCTGTAAAACGTTTTATTCAATTCTGTATTTCAAGCCTGAACCTGAAGCAATCTGGAATTAAATGTTTCCTTCCAAAAGAGGAAGCGTTCCAATGAAAAGAGAAGAGTTATACAGAAGTGGCTACGTTTTGTCCTGTAACGGCAGCAAGAAATATATGACAGTCAGGGAGAGCAGAAGTGAGGTCAAGAGGAAGGAAGAAGCAACGAGCGAGAGAGGAACATCGTCTGGGCAGTACTGTGATTGAGGAAGCTCAGATGTGCCCTGACGTCTCTACTGCTTCGTTTGTGTCTCCCAGTACAAGGAAACTCCACAAAGGTGTAGATTTTCTTCCCAGCTGACCAGCTGCAAATGCTAGATCTTTTTCCACCTCTTTGCTTCGACGCTTCGCTTTTCACCGGCTATGACAGAAGAAGTAACATACGCCAATCTGAAGTTTGGAAACAGCCATGAACTGGATAATATCACAGAGCCTAAAGATCCTACGGAACAAGGTGCAGTATCCGTGAAGCTTTTATGATTTATTCATGCTAAAGTAGATGGAACGGGGAAATACTTTTAATTTTATGCCCAAGGGGCCTTTGGTAGCTTTGTTACTATCAGAAAAGTTATGCTAGTTATAAATGTGTCCTGGTTTTTGTTGCTGTCATTTCTGCATGAACTTTTTAGCGTTTGGAAGCTATACCTAAAATACTCATCTTATTAGTTCACGGAAAAGTGGATTACTGAGACTTATACTAAGCTCCACAAATAGTCCTTATTGTCTAAACCTCAAAAGAGTTAACTTGAACTAATTCTTAAAGCAGACGAGTTCCATTTAATTTCTCCGTGCATTTGCTTTCAACCTTAGAACTGAATTAGCTTTAGTCGACTCCCTTTTTCACTTCCGAAGTTGTAGCCTCAGTTCAGGCACTGGTCTCTGAAATGGCTGTATCTGCTACAGGGCTGAATGCATTTTAAGTAGTCTATTTAAAATACTAATTTTAATTTAATTGTGCTTAATTTGTGTTAAATTGCTTAAGAATAGCTGTGAAGATGAGCTCTAGATGTGAGTGGTGCAACTCGTGGGAACAAAGATGTAGGGTAGGAACAATTTATTTTTGCCTTTTAGCTCCAATTCATATGAGTCTATTTAGCAGCCTGCCTTAGGCAGTCACGTTTCTATTACTGAAGTTCTCCAGGCACCTAATATCCAGCTTCAGAGCATGTACAGAAGCACTTTAACTTTAAAAATAACCGTATGTCCCAGCAGCCAATGCATCCTGTAAGGATCTATAAGGTATCTGATTCTCTTGTGCAGGCTTTATCTCTGAGCGTATCTGTCGTATGCCTGTGAGCTCAGACTGGAAAATAATGCAGAAGGGGGCTATTCTTTCTCCTGTGAAAGGCCTGGCTATTCCTCTTTTGTGCAATATCAAGCAGTTAGAGCACTTCCTTAGGCTGGGTTTGCGTTCTGTGATGAAATGCGGGTGCCGGGAGGGTGGCAGATGTGGTACATATTTAGCAAAGCTTTTGCCAATGTCTCTTACAGTATCATCATTCTAAAGCTGAGGAAGTTACGGGCCGGATGGTGGACTGTTGGGGGGATTGAAAACTGGCTGGGCTACTAGGCTCAAAGGGCAGCGACTAAGGACTCAACTCTGTTTGGTGGCAGAGTCCCCCAAGGGTCCCTCAGGGGGTGATAGTGAGCCCATATTTTTTAATATCTTCATCAACGACCTGAAAAAATGATGCAGAGTGTGTCTTCTGCAAATTCATAAGGGTACCAAACTAGGAGGGCTGACGGCTGCTGCCAAGTGGTAGAGCTTCAATACAGAGAATCCTTGAGAAACTTGATGACTGGGTGAGCAGAAACTCCATGAAGCTCCACAATTCGCTGAGCACTGAGGCTGGACTGAGCCCAGGCAGTGGTACAGACTGGGAGCATGCTGGCTGCAGAGGCTTTTCCTGGAAAGGACATGGGCTTTATGGTGAATGAGAGGATGAACATAAGCCAGCATCCAGCTGTGCCCCAGTTCAAGACAGCGCCCATCGCTCGACCTTCATTCCCCTGCTCCTGTTCATCCACCTGAGTTTCTGCAGAGTGAGGTCTTGTACAACGCTCTGCCCAGGACCGCGTCGCCACGGAAGCTGGCCGCGGATTATTCACAGGAGGGGCACACTGCAGAGCTGCTCGTCCTGCTCCTTCCGCCTGGCACCACGCGTCGGCTCCTTCTCCTTCCGCACTTCACTCCCAGTTTTAAACGTGCCTTTCGCTTTTCTAGACGAGCAATTTCCTGTCCGCATTCCCATTCCGCTGCCTTTATTGGATTAAGTCAAGCTGGCTGCAGCTCTCCACAAAGGCCATATAGAGGCGATTTTAGTATCTGCCTTAGATTTAGTGCTTCCCTGACAAACCGAGTGCTTTTTCTCCCTCCTTCAGTGCATCTTAGCCCATGAAAGCTTCCAGCTCCTATAAACAGGGTCTCTTTTGGATGACCCACATGCTTAAAATTTTCTTTGCTCGGGAAAAGGTTGTTCCTTTTTCTCTTCGTTGAGTGCTCATTTCTGTATCTAGACTGCAACCCTTACTGCAGAAAAATTCTCTGTGAATTCCGAGGTAGAAATCTCAACCCTACCGCAGCACTCAGATTAACCAGATGACCACAGATATATGCCCCACATCACACATTACCACAACCGTAGATTGCATATTTGTTTTCAGCTTTCAGCAATCAACTTTCTAGATTTTGCAGTATCTCTCTTGCTCAGTGTCTTTCTTGCCACAGCTTATGGCCCTTTGCAAGGACCAAGACTGTCTCCGTGCTCCACTGAGCTGTTGCGATCTCGCTCTCCTACTTTGGGCATCTTTTGCTGTGTGCAGGGACTCTGCAGCAGCCTGGTCTAGTGGAAGATGTCCCTGCCCATGGCAGGGAGGTTGGAACTGAATGATCTTTAAGGTCTCTTCCAACCCAAACCATTCTACGATTCGATGATTCTGTGAATATACAACCATAGAGTAAAAGCAATTTATTGACCAAGGCACCACAAAGATGGCTGCAATTTAATGATGCTAATGCGTTCACCGTTCCCTTACCGTCACACCTCTGTTTCATGACTGAATTCCTCCCAGGGCCTCCCACATCGTCCCGCTCTTACTGGCAAGTAGTCCTGGTTTTGCTGGCGCTGTGCCTGGCGTTGCTGGTGGCGCTGGTGGCCCTGGCGGTTTTACGTAAGTACTGACGCGTTTCTGTTCCCGGGGAGCTCGAGCTGCTGCATGCTGAATAATCACACTGGCACCTCCTTCAGGTGCAATTTCTGCTTCAGCTGAGAACAGGCAAACCAAGTACTCTCCCTTGCCGCAGCATCTTTGTCCTCTTCTCGACGTGGTGAGGCCAGAAATGAGCAACACGGAGGGGAGCTGGAAGGGGGTGGAATAGGACATCCACTGCTTGCTCTGGCTGCTGTTGCCTGGTCCACAATCCTGCTGTGCTGACTAATGATGGAGTGAATTCCCCTTTGATAATGCTGGACGCACAAGGGAAATATCTGATAAAAAGTGACACTTTTAATTTTGTTATTCACTCACAGCCAAATAATAAGAAATCCACTATGCAAATGTTCTCCGTCTCCGCAGCCCTTACAGACAACTGTTCAGGGAGGAATAATGTTTATCCCAAATGGTTTATTTGTCCCTAATGGTCTGCTAAGTCATTCCCTATCTGCACCCTATCCTTTCTGAAGGACAGCACTGGAAAATGTCTTATTGTGAGTTTCAGTTTTCCAGATTCCCAAGGACTACAGGACACAGCTTAGAAATCTCAACGTGACAAAGAATGAGCTGCATGCAAATTTCTCAAACATGCTGCAAGCAATAGGAAATCAGCTGTGCCTGGAAGGGAGAAAAACCCTTAAAAATAACGGTAAATTAACAAGTTTTGATGAGAGCTTATCTTTCAGTGTGGCAGGGAAGGAAATGAGATGTGTCTTCTGTGGCTGCTTGTGTCTGTCTCCGCAGATCCTGAGGAGTAGGGGCATCGCGCAAAGGGGTCCTGTTGTGCCTCTTGGGAAAGGGCATTTCCCTTGTCCAGACATTGTTCCACAGACAAGCTACCTGTTGAGGTCTCCCTTTTAGTCGATGGAGATTGGCTGTGCAAGGATACAGTATGTTTCCTCCCAAGAGTGACCCAGAAATGACAGGAAAAGCATCCGTGAAACACACCCGCTTCTGTCCCAACGAAAGCGGGAATCCGGATGGGTTCCCTCGTGTCACCTTTGCAGACTCCTAAAGTCAGGCAAAATAAATCCCATTTGCAACATCTGAACCTCCTCCCAATGCTAAAGGAATGGGAGAGATTGGGGGATGATTCAGTTTTCATCTCTTCCCTCACCTGAACTTTCCGGGACCACAGTGGGATTTTGACTGCATGAGCACCGTCTCAGACATCCTCAGTCCCTACGGATCTTGTTGTCACAGGCCAATAGGGATGCTCTGTGAGGGACAGCCTGTGACCAGAAATGGGGTAATGGTTTTCCTTTTCCAGGCCAGAACTGCGTCCTCTGCCCTGCAAACTGGAAGTGGGAAGGCGGCGAGAAGTGTTACTACCGGTCTGAGGAAAGGAAGTCATGGGAACAGAGTCACCGGTTTTGTTCCTCACAAAACTCCACTCTTCTTCTGATAAAGGAGGCAGCGGAGCTGGTATGGACTGGTTTCTCACTCTGTTTAGCACGGAGGAGGTTCCTATATGGGCAAGAACAGCTGTGTTACTCTGAGGTTTGGGGGCGTAGACTGTGTAAATTAAGGCAGTCCCAGTTCTCCCAGTGCGCATCAAAGGGGCTATGGATTCCTACCAGCTACTCACCTCAGTCATTAATTTTCTTAAATGGCACTGGGAGAAGGAGTTTTTCTACAGTGACCAGGTTGCCCTGGGCAGCGCTAAGGCATAGGGCTGGTCATCGCCACCCGAAGTGCCACCCTTCGAGCTGTGGCCGGCTACTTCCTGGGATGACTCACAGCAACGGGCTCATGGCTGTGTTGTCATGGGCAACGATTTCACCAATTTAACAAGTGTCACAGATCCGTTTGGTAAGGCGTTAGTGTGAAAACCTCTTTTAACCCGGTCTGCCCCTAGGTGAACCATAGTCCTCTCCATTTTGTGGACGTTCTTTCCACAAAAGTTGATCTCATCTTTTCAACCAAAATTAAAACACTTGGCAGAGAGTTGCTGCAATCTGTCCTGATTTTTTAATTAAAAACAGTTCTGCTGTCGTTTCTCCTCTGATACTAGGCTTTTTCTTGAAGTGCAGAACTTGTCCTGACAGGTTAACAATTTGTGGCACCTAAGTTCTTTAAGCAGTTTCCATCCATACTTTCAACTTCGGAGCCTAAATATTTATTTTTAATATCTTCCTGAATAGTTGTTTTGATTTGTGCTTACTCTGCATAGGAATTGATAAAAATGATTGCTGTACAAGCATACTGGCTTGGACTGAAATTTAGAGCTGAACAGAGAGGCTGGGTTTGGGCAGACAACACAGTTCTTACGCATCAACAAAAGTCTTGGTAAGTCTCAGCTTCCCCGCGGTACGGAAGGGTGATTCTCACCCACACACAACTCGCAGTGTCTCTGACACGACGGGAACGTTGAACAGCCAACAGTTATGCAGCTTCCTCTGAATTCTGGGTCTCACTTTTCCATTTCAGATTTTCCTTGGCCTCACCCAGGGCTGCTTGGATAGTGATCCAGGTGCTATTGCTGGGCAAAAATGTACCCTGAAAGTTTATGTCCGCAATTTAGTTTCAGATTGACCATAAATGTCATTATGTGTCGCTTGTATTTGACATCTTTTTCCAGTGAGGACACACAGAAAAAATTCCAATGGAAAAGTGTTCCATTTCATGCTTTTGATTTTATACTTCTTGATTTTTATATAAGACACTATTTATTCTCTAGAATAATTTCACCTCGGTTTAACATATTATTTCAGAAATACAATATATTTTTCTTCTTGCTTTCAAACCTACTTGGTCAATTTTCTTTTTCATTATTCCGCACTCTCTCCTTCCTATTTCTGTTGAAACGGCCACAGACTCTGTCCAGCCGGTACCCAGACGTTAGTGTTTCTTACTGTGGGGTACAAGAAATGGTTTAGGACCCACTCTTAGGGTCTGCTGGAGGTGCTTGTTGGCATGTTCAGGACAGGGTCAGCCTCCTGGGAGCTGGTGCATCATGTCACTAAATGCTGTATTTCTTTGTCGCGGGGATATGTTCTTCGTGAAAGCCACATAAGTAATTCTTGCAAAAAGGCAGCTGTTTTTGGAAGGGGCAAGGATGCACCAACTGAATGAGGTGAGAGATAACAATAAAAATTTTTCCTTCTTAGGACAAGTTATCTAGACTACTACTCAGACTGTGGATATTTTTATCATGGTATCATACAAAACAGAAAATGTCAAGAAGAGCTTCCCTATATCTGTGAAAAGCCCGCCATCCAATTACGGCGAGGTAGCCATCGGCAGGAGGACTGGTTTGTCAGACTGTCATGATTATGAGAAGCTAGAAGACATTCTGCAAGGTTGTAATTTTTTGTTTTGTTTTTCAGAACTATCACATGAGAATTTAAATATGTTGGATCGGACCTAATACATTTCCTTGTTTTCATTCTCTTTCAGACATATGTAAAAATGTCTTCACACTAAGGAAACAGGCACAGTGGCAGGCTCCAGGACTCACCCAAATCTGTCATTCCAGGTCCAACACTGCCAGATGATTACTCATCTTTAACCAACACAAGCTATGGACAAAATGGCCAAAAGTGATGGCCAGGCAAGAAAAGCACAGTGAGAAGGCGAGCACGTAAAGATACTGCTCCTCTCCCAGCATCCACGGACACTGTCCTGATACCACTTGTCAGTTCGTACCTGTACAGCTGTAACACAACACAAGGGATGAGGATTAAACGCTTCCATACAGGAGATGCTTCTGATGTTTTGTCGATCTGACTGCTCTAACACACTAGTAGGCTGGAGCATCCAACACACAAATACAGTTGTCCTCAGAGGGTGGGCCAAGGTCTTCCTGAACTTGATTAATAATCACATTTGCTCTCGAGCACAGGGATTCGTAGTCCTCGTGAGGACTTGTGCATGTGTCACAGGATAAGATATCCTTCAGCTGTGAATGTCTAGCTCTCTTCCATGCTCTGTACTTCTTGGAACTGTTAGTTTTCTTTTTCTTTTTCTTCCTCTAGTAATAGAGGAAATCCTGCTCTTCTTTTCTACTAATTCTAATATTATTATTATTATATCATTATTAATTTTATTTTTATAGTAGCAGTAGTAGTAGTAAATTGTACTTATCTCAACCCACGAGTCTCCTTCTCTTTTCCCTTTTAATTCTCTTCCCCACTCCCTGGGGCTGAGGAAGGGTGAGCGAGTGGCTGCATGGTGTTCAGTTGCCACCTGAGTTAAACCACGACACTTGTCCAACATGAGTCCTTCCCACAGAATCCGATCCTTACCTATCAAACTGTTCCAGCACAGGCCTTTCCCATGGAGTCACAGCTTCTTAGGGAGCAGCCATCCGCCCTGGTGTGGGGTCCTCCATGCACTGCAGATGCACCTCTGCTTTGTCGTCAGTCTCCAGCAGCATGGGGGTCCTTCCCACAGAGATGATCCTCTAAGAACTCTTTTAGGCACAGGCATCTTTGCTCCAGCCAGAGAAGCTTCTCGCATCTCCTTAGAGGGACTATCCCCGTAGCCCTGCCTCCTCTACCAAAACCCCACCACATAAACCCCACACACCTGACCACAGTGAAAATACCCCAAGCAGTGCTAATGAACAAAACATCTCCCTCCACATCTCGGTAGAACAACAACTGTCAGGTTGAAATAAGAAATCTCAGTCCCATAACACTTTAATTTGAGCAAGAAGTCTACAAATTCCTACCTTAGTCCCCTCTGGAGACTTACGTGTTCCTTGCGGATTGCATCCCAGGTTATTTAATGTGGATTTTGCTGATCTCAGCACTACACAGCAGTTTCTGATCACCAACATGAACATTTCGGGTGTTAATTTCAAATACCAATTTCATACTCCAGAAACCTTATCAGATTTCTCTTCCTCTCTGCTCTTTACACTCACCACTTGCATCTCTAACGTAACCTCTCCTAGCTGCTCCTCCCAGTTGTTCCCCTAGCTGTTCCTCTCTTTGGGGGCGAAAATGCAGAATGCTTCTGTCCTGGTGACTTCCCAGAGCATCTCTCAGCATCCGTACCAGCTATGCTGAAATAAGAAATCTCATGTGGAAGGTATCCTGAACTGTATGCATGGCTCATCCTTTCTTGATAACAAAGGGCTTTACTGTAATTTGCCAGAAAAATTAAAAAAAAAAAAATCTGATCTAGTTTTCTCTTACATTAGAGTGAGGAAACAGGAAAGATGCTTCGAGGATGTTTCTTCATCAATGAGGCATGACTGATAGCAGATGGGAGAATCCGAGGTGTCTCTGCAGTTTGTTCAAGATGAATGTCAGCTGAGATTCATAGAATTCTAGAATCACAGAATGGTTTGGGTTGGAAGGGACCTCAAAGATCATCCAGTTCCATGGCAGGGACACCCTCCACTACACCAGGTTGCCCAAAGACTCATCCAACCTGGCCTTGAACACTGCCAGGGATGGGGCAGCCACAGCTTCTCTGGGCAACCTGTTCCACTGCCTTCGCAGTATTGTGAGTAACCAGGTCTCCCATTTCCTTCTGGAGAGGGCCTACATTTTCCCTAATTCTCTTTTTATCACTGACATATCTATAGAAGTTTTTCCTGTCGCCCTAGATGTCCCTGACCAGATTTAGTTATCTCAGGGCTTTAGCTTTCCTAACCTGATCCCTGGTTGCTCAGACAATTTCTCTATTTTCTTCCCAGGCTCCCTGTCCTTGCTTCCATCCTCTATAGGCTTCCTTTTTGTGATTGAGTTGGTCCAGGAGCAACTTTTTCATCCATGCAGCCTCCTGGTGTTCCTGCCTGACTTCCTCTTTGTTGGGATGCACCGCTCCTGAGCTTGTCCTGATAGACAAATAGTTTTGCACCATATTTAGCATGAGGTCTTTATGAGGATATCACGGATACACCATGAATACACAGTGAATGCTACTCCTTGTATGCCTCTCCGTGTCACCACACTGACTGGAAGCACCCTTTACTCCCAGCTCTTCCATCGTGCTGTCTCTTTGCATACGGGTAAGATACGATGCAAGAAATACACGCAGCCAGAGATATTTCTGCTCTGAAAAAAATCTATCACCTGCACAGCAGGGCAGGAAGAGTAGCCCAGTCCTTACCGCGTGTCACCAGTCTGTTGGTGCTGTTCTGCAAACGGGGGACCGTGAACTTTACACACAAGAGCAGGAAGAGCCACCGCAGAAACCCCCGTCTTGCAATTTCCTTCTGACTCACTCCGTCACCACCAAGTCACTCATCATGCCTGGGCAAGCGCTGTGTTGAGCAGAGTTGATGACTGGAGATGCTCAGCACCGGAGCGAGGCCCTGCAAAGAGTGGAGATGGAGAGTGAGGCTGGACAAGCCACTTCTGCGCAGCGACTTCTGTGTGCAGTGCAACAGCAGAGATGTCCTCAGTGCCTTTCTCTGGCAGAGGCTGAGCCTCATGTGAATCCTGCCAAGCTCCTGGCCTCACCATCCTTTTAGCGCAGCTTTTCCCCTTCGAGCATTTATTTTGGTGCATTTTTGTAAAATAATTTCGTTTTTCATTTCTTTCAGTAACAGCGTATGGAAATACAGGCTGTTGTTTTCCGTGCAGCTGTTGTGTTGCAATTGTGCCCTGATACATGAACAGGCATCTTTGGCACCTGAACTCAAAACAGCAACTATTTCTAGAGCATCTTATCGTAAGGAGGTAGAAAATCCTGATGTTTGCTGTACTTACAGGGTCAGATCGGGTGGGTAGGTAAATGAAACGGTCTCAGGTTCCAGCTAGGAACCAAGATCCCAGTCTTCACATTGAGGAGGAAAACCCCCGTCCTTGACAGTGCCACTTCAACTCCTTAGTGTGCTTTTGACATACCACACGTTTACTACGACACTAATCAGAACAGAGCCAGCTTCCTCCGTGGTTTTACTGGAAATACTGAAACGTGACCCATTCCCACCGCCTCGGCATTGGTCCCACTGCAGTGTGCCCCTGCTCCCAAAGTACTGTTACTGCAGGAGAGAAGTGTGATGAGCTGGAGATGGAGGATGAGGAAGGCTACACTGCTTTAAATTTACGACCCTCAGCTTCGGTTGTTCCTTCTGGATATTCGAGCAGCAACAAATGTTCTACGTTCAAGGCTCCGGCCAGTTGTGTCGCAGCAGACAGTAAGTACGGATGGAAATCAGCTTTTCTAGCTAAATCAGGGTATAACTTGAGTTGGCATGGTCATGTGGATTGCTTTAGAATCCTTCTAAACTTGATAGTATATTCTCAGATAAATGTTCATAGAAATAGCAGAGAGAATAATCGTGGTGGAGTCTCATGTGCTATGGTTTATGATCACAGATGATATTTTTTCTCAAGTTTATCTTTACTCCAATTATTTTTTCTGTTTACTTCAACACAGAAGACAAATTCCACCTTTCTATAGATTTTTTTTTAATTTTGATAGGACTCATCTATTACAGCAGGACCCTATAAGAGAGGAAGGCTCCATATCAGAAAATGCAGGCCTTCGAAATGGAAGCAATTTGCTCAACCATGGGGAGTAGAAAGATGCCCTGTTTATCAGTCATGGTAGGGGATGTAAGCTCTAATAGGAGCATATGTTTTTATTTGTTTATTCTCAAAGTCTTTCTATAAACAAGCTGAGTGTTAACTAAGGCAGTGGATTGTGACCGTGGAATGCCTGAGACTATAAAACTATGACTTGAGTACTGGTGTTGAAGCTCAGAAGTTCACCAGGTGGCTCAAGTGTGAAATGAATGTAATTGCTGCTATTTGCAGGCTGGGCAGAGTAGACAAGAATTAAATTAACATCACTCTGGTGCTGTCTGGAAAAGATCTAGGGCTATCCATCGAGAACAGCTGCTTGATAAGGAGGATAGAGAAGCTGTTGAGAAGCAGCAGCCAGAAAATCAAGGATAAAACATTAGGGAGCGTGATCTAGGAACGGGGATCTCACAGACTCTCTGGGCGCTTCTTCCAGCACTGAAGGGGAAGAATTTTTCTCCTCACATCTAATCACAGAAGTTTCCCTGATGCAACTTGTGACCGCTGTAATGCGTTCTTTCGCTGTGCCTCTATGAGAAGAGCCTGACTCCACCTAGAAAGCCCTTTTAGATAGTGAAGGACTGAAATTACGTCCTCTCTTAGCCTCCCGTCCTCCAGGCTAAACAAGCCAAGGTCCTTCAGCCTCTCTATAGGTCCCTGACCAACTCAGTGTTCCTCTGCTGGACTCTGTGGTTAGCTGACATCGCTCTTGAACTGGGAAGCTCAGCACTGGACACGGTACCCCAGACGTGGCTTCATGACCCTCTAGTGGAGTGGAATAATCAC